TCAGTGAACAACGGCTCTGTGTAGTTAATGCTGCTCAATGTGAAAGCACGCAGGTGATGGAGATTTACCGCTGATTACAGAACCGGCTTTCTGACAAGATGCGCATTAAATATCGCATGCGATTTATCGTGCAGCCCTAGTATTGTATTTCCGGCCTTTTAGAGCGTGAATGTACCTAACTATATGAAATGCATATGATTTTTTTTGTAGCAACACGGGGCTCGACATTAATGTTTGTCCAGGACAGTTATGTCAAAGGAAGTTGTTTGATCTGGTAACAATCAGCTTCATGCTAATTGTCAGCTGTCATTGTTTATTTGATCATAACCTCTGATACTTTTTGTCCAGTTGTTCACCCTGTGGCATCATTACCAAACACTTTGAGACTTTTACTGATTGTCTGAATTGTGAAGAATTACTAAATGAATGAATTTATGTTCATTATGCCTCCTGTTTTGGTAGTAATGTCAACACACTTTTTTTTTTTTTTAACAAGTGATTTAATTGTTCTTAAACATTCAAGTACCTGTCAAATCTTAATGTCAAACCCTACATTAACAGGTCTTCAGTTACCAAACACAATCCTTTATTTATCAGTGCATGACATCTGTTGTCTTAAATTGATTTTGTGGTGTGCATGTTTCTGTGAACGTTTCTATACCTGCTTATCCGATCACTTTTAAGAGTGTGGAAAATGAAAACATACATTTTGCATCACAAACTGAACTATGATAGGAAAACAGCCAGCTGAATGGTGCAAAATGATCAGTACACCCACTGCATTTCTGTATTTATGCAAAACACTCGTCATCAAGCTGTTAATCCTAAAATGCTTATTCCCAGATTTTCTGTACCATTGTTCCATATTATATTTTCAATTCTAAAGGTAATCCAATATTTATATTTCAATCTGAACATCTGTCAGCCACATATGTACCTACTAACTGTGCTGTAGATAGTCACATCTATGTTATAGAAATATTGAATCTGTCAATACTAATTTAAAGTGCCTTTTTTTACATTCACATTAAATCTGTTGCTATAGTTTTGCTGTGATATGTCCGTTGAAATTGTATCTCCACTGCCTTTTGTTGTTTGTGAGGTTTTATACACAAATTTCACTACCAAAATTTTGTGACTGTAAAATTAACTGAAACCATTTATATGCAACATTAAACCGTTTTATTCACGCTTTGTACTAACTTCTGGCATACCTATCAGTAAATCATTTTCTGTATAATGGATTTTTTTATTGATGTTTTATTTAAACGAACTATGCTTGCAATAAGGTATTTGATGTGTTTAAAGAATTACATCTTGAGGAGAGAAAAAAAGGAACGAAATAAATGTAATAAACTAAATATTGTGTATATTTCCATGCGTAGAAGTAGTTACAAGTATTCAATTGTTTTTTTTTAAGCATTTAACTTTTATTTTATTCTCTCCACAATAGCCATTTTGTCCAAGTTAAATTATTTACATGTTTGTTGTTATTATATAAAATCGTTTTTTATCATTAAATACGTACAGTATACTTCACATCCGACTCTTATTTTGAAATACTGTGCAGTAGCGCCATTTTGGATCAGAGCAGCAGCCCCATCAACAAACTGAGTTGGCAGGTTGCAACTAGCTTTTGCGACGGAAGTTTTGTTGACATCTGTCATTCATTCATGAAATAAAGTCCTTCTCGCTCTGACATTAGGCTATAGTTGAACTGTAGTGGAAATGAGTTCAGCTACAACCCCACCGGATTCGGACCCGACCGGGCGGCGGCGAGTTCACAGTATGCTGAAGCTCTACTACGGCCTGAATGAGGAAGGAACAGCTGCAGAACAAGCCGAGTCTCTGGATCCGTGTGATATCAACGGACCGCATTTCGACCCGGAGGTTTATTTAAATAAGGTAGTGTGATGAATAATGACAAATAGTAAGTGTTTATTATATAGGGGTGTACACATCTGTTAGCAGTGTGGCAATGAGTATGCTGTCACTGTGATGTAATTCTGCATTTTATGCCACATATAAATAATCCCTCAGAAATACCAGTGTGTGACTGTGTATTTTTATGCTAGAATGCTAAAATGTACTGTGGTTTGTCTTTGAAATGTCTCGTTTGTGTTTCAGTTGAGGAAGGATTGTTCTCTGTGTGAGCTGATGGATCATGAGAGCTGCATGGTGAAACAGATCAGATCTCTGGACAGTGACATGCAAACCCTGGTTTATGAAAACTACAATAAATTCATCTCAGCCACAGGTTAGTGAATAGATGAAAGTTGTTCAGATTTTACTATTGAAGGCACCATGAACTCATAAATGACTATTGTTATTTTTGTGGAATATTGCAGATAAATGATTTATCTGTGCACATCATTATTTTAAATTCATGTGCCCTTGTAATCTTAACTTCACCTCCATCTTACAATGACATCTCTTCTCTAATGAAGTGTGCACCAGCACGAGGGCAGGACGATTCATAGTTTTCAGTCAAGTGACTGGCGGGGAGACCCCCATTGAATTTCACCACAGGCCTGTCAACTTGCAATCCAGCAGTATTTCAATCACTAAAAACAGCGGGACATTCTTAAACGCTTAACGTGCAAAATGCTTAATGTGTCCTAATAAACTAAGATGGCGATATTAAAAGATCAAATTCAGTATACACCTACAAGCAAGCAGATGAGCCCAGAATATGAATGCATTGTGCTAAATCATTAATCGTTTTCTTTATAATGGTTTTCACTCGCATGAGATTGCAGCAGTTAGCAAACACACAACGATTCAACAATCAAATCAATTCCCAATGGGCAAAATCAGGTCCCGCCTTACATTTTTTTCTTGTTCGAGAAGCCATCTCAATCTGATATACTTAACACAAGGAAAGAAAATATCACCGAAATTAATTTCATGTTGACTTTTGTTTTGTTTAGACATTGATCACAGCTTTACATCATGCTGGTTTCATAACCCTTCCCTGATTATATTCAAAGTTTATTTGTCTCTGCACAGACACAATCAGAAAAATGAAGAATGATTTCAAGAAGATGGAGGATGAAATGGACTGTTTGTCTGCGAACATGGCTGCCATAACAGAGTTTAGTGCCCGCATTAGTGGGACGTTGCAGGACCAGCATGCACAGATCACTAAGCTATCAGGTATGAATATTAATGTGATATAAATGGATCACAGTAATAATAAATTACTAATTCATCTTACAGGCTTGTTTTGGTAGTTTAACAACCATTATGACTTCAAACCACATTTGGTCTTTTCATATACGTCTGATTTAAAGTTTAAATTGATTTCTGCCTCTACATAAGCCATGAATCTTTCATCTTCTGTGTAGGTGTTCACACTCTCCTCCGTAAGCTCCAGTTCCTGTTTGAGCTGCCAGCAAGACTCAATAAGTGTCTGGAGCTGCAGGCCTATGCCCAGGCAGTGAGTGCCCACCGGAGGGCACGCTGTGTACTGCAGCAGTATAGTCATATGCCATCTTTCAGGGGCATCCAAGATGACTGCCATGTCATTATGGAGCAGCTCGCTCAACAGCTGCGGCAGAAATTCAGGTCTGTGCTTTCTCGGATGTCATGGCATATTTCTATTAGTTTAAAAAAGCATCTAAACATTTGATTTTATATTTGGTTTAACTGCTAATTAAATCATTGATATGAGTCCATAAATTCAAAATGCCCCCCATAAAATCTAATCTCACGTTCTTTATTCATTAATATTTGCTTGCAGGGATGGAGGTTCAAGTGCTAAAGACCTCTCTGAATGTGTTGAGCTTCTTCTGCAGTTAGACGAGCCAGCAGAGGAGCTCTGTGACAAATTCCTCAGCCACGCCCAGTCTAGGTTGGAGGCGGATCTCCAGGGACTGGAGGCGGAGCTTAAAGACTCTGCGTTTACTGATACCGGCGGAGGCTCGGTCCAAAAAACAAGTCCTGGATCAAATCCCATATCTCCTTCTAGTTCCTCTGTGATCAATCCGTTCCTCTCTCCTACTGCCGGAACGGACATCCTTGAGTTCATAGATCGAGGGTGTAATGAGTTTGTCAGCAGTCTCTGTTTAGTCATTGCCTCCTATCAAGAATTGTTCATCAACCGTCCACAGGAAGGCGAATTAGCTTCAAAGAACATCCCAGAGATGGCTAATGGCAAGCTACATGTGTTTGTGGACACCCTGGCTGCTAGATACTTCTCTCTAGTGGAGCGGAGGATACAGGAGG